GCTTCATTTCGATGTTGAACAGCTGATTAGAGATCGTAACTTGCTCCCGCAGATAATGTAGGATCTGATGATCAAATCTGTAGAAATGAAGAGAGATAAAAGGGTAATTGATTCTGAATGAGATTAGTGGAAGCAATTTTGGCTTTAGTTTGTACAGTTTTAATTCACTTTGATTCAATTGGGAAAGTTTGATATGGTTGATTTGGCTCAAACTGTGTATGTCCAGATGTTGAATAGTGGGGTTAAACGTAGTCTATTGACATTTAATACGATGATCAATATTTTTTGTAAGAAAGGGAAAGTTCGCGAAGCTGAACTGATAATGTGTAAGATGTTTCAGTATGATATGTCGCCTGATGTCTTTACCTATACATCTTTGATTCTTGGGCATTGTAGAAATGGAAAATTGGATTCAGCATTTGAGGTTTTCGATAGGATGGTTCAAGAGGGTTGTGATCCGAATTCTGTTACGTATTCAAATTTGATTAATGGGTTATGCAATGCTGGGAGGTTGGACGAGGCCCTTGACATGCTTCAGGAAATGATAGATAAAGGAATTGAACCAACAGTTTATACTTATACTGTTCCAATTACTTCCTTGTGTGAGGATGGACGTGTAAATGAGGCAATTCAGCTTGTCTCTCGCATGAGAAAGAGGGGCTGTACCCCAAATGTCCAGACATTTACGGCGCTAATCACTGGGTTATCTCGTGCTAGGAAGTTTGAAGTAGCAATTGGGTTGTACCACAAAATGGTGAAGGATGGTCTGGTTCCAAACACTATTACATATAACACTCTAATAAATGAATTGTGTGCAGGAGGAAGATATGGAACTGCTTTGAAGATCTTTTATTGGATGGAGGGCCACAACGCCTCTCCAAATGTACGAACGTACAATGAAATTATAAAGGTCCTATGTTCAATGCATAACATTGAAAAAGCAATGATTCTCCTGAATAAAATGCTTAAGGATGGTCCCTCTCCAACCAAGATAACTTATAACACTCTAATTGGTGGATATGTTGAGACGGGCAATCTATGCAATGCTATGAGATTATTAGATATGATGAAAGAGGGTAGATGCATGCCAGATGAATGGACTTATTCTAAACTTATTTCAGGATTTTGCAAGTGGGGCAACCTGGACGCTGCATCTAATCTTTTCTCTGAAATGATAGAACATAATCTAAGCCCGAATGAGGTGACCTATACTGCTATTATTGATGGTTACTGTAAAGATGGTAAAATTGATATTGCCTTGTCATTTTTTGAGAGAATGGAGCAACATGGTTGTTGCCCAAATGTTGAGACTTATAATGCAATTATACATGGTTTGGCCAAAGACAATCGATTTTCTGAAGCAGAGAAAATGTGTAGTGAAATGGCAGAGAAGCAATTGTTGCCTAATGTTATTACTTACACATCTTTGATTGATGGGCTCTGCAGGAACGGTGGAACTGATATTGCTTTCAGGGTTTTCCATGAGATGGAGAAGAGAAAGTGCATGCCGAACATATATACATATAGTTCACTCATTTTTGGCTTGTGTCAAGAGGGCAAGGTTGGTGATGCTGAGAGGTTACTTGAGGAAATGGAGAAGAAGGGATTGGCTCCTGATGAGGTTACATTTACGTCACTTATTGACGGTTTTGTTTTGCTTGTAAGGTTAGATAACGCATTCTTCCTTCTTCGGCGGATGAGTGATGCAGGTTGCAAACAAACTACAGAACTTACTGTGTATTGTTAAAAGGGTTTGCAAAAAAGTTCCCATTTGTTGGTAGAGATGTTGCTATTCAAAACGAATCTGTC